CTGCACAGGGTATGTGAAAAGGAGAAATTGAGGGCATTCACGAATGAAGCGGAATGTTGTGGTGCTGCATGGAAAGTCTAGCACCTTACTACGGTGCCTACCTACCTCATTTCCCCTCTCAGCTGTTCTGACTTGGCAGGTGAGCCGCAGTTGTGACTTTCACTTTTAGCTTAGGTAGCCGGCCCCAAAAGATGTAGGGCACAATTTTTTGCTTGGAATTTGTCCGAGTTTAATGTACTGAGTTGGAGCGGCTATAGGCGGTGTGTGCTTGCGGTGTTGCCCTGCTTGTTTGAGAAGAGTAGCTCTGCAGATACCAGGAACAAGAACGTGGGCCGAGTTGCCCGTGTGCTAATTCCACATAAACTACTATTTATTAACACAGTGTTTTACCTGGTAGTATGTTGAAGAGCACCTTATAGTAAAATCAGGGGAAGGTAGAGGCCTCAAGTATTGGTCTCCTTTTGGCTGCTTGTTTTCTCCATTAAAATGGTAGTAATAGCCATCTGTTTTCTTGCCATCTCAGCACATAAGGTGGGTAAGTATCTTAAAGACTGTGAGACTGGTATTTTGTACATCGAGCTGCACCAGGGAAGCTAAGAATGGAAGTGCTGACGGTGCGTGTGCGTGTTCGGAAGCCATGGGGCTCAGACGTTTCTGGAGAAAGATCTGATTAATCGTATTACCAGAGGCAGCATAATCTTGGCTTACGATCCGTTCGGAAGTGAAAAAGATGCTAAGTTTGAACGAAGCGAGGATTCTGTAAAGCAGTGTTACTGTCCGTTTGCTGCACGGGTGGGAGACAGAGTTGCTAAGGGGGACGTCTCTGGTTTTGGGCAACTTGGCTGTACTTAGCGTAGCGCAGCGCGTAGGTCTGTAGCGAGCGAGAGGGCTGCCGTGGACCTGGGGTGTGGTAGGTCTCCTGGTGTGATTGCTGTAGTCTCTGCTGCTCGCTGCTTCTCTGGCCTACACCTCACCGGATTTGAGCAGCTGTTGCGTGAGTAACTGAAGAAGAATGCACAGGTGTGGATGGATTGAAAAATACCAAGACACCAACTCAAGGACAGTCAAGTAGTAATGAATGAGTAGCAGGAGAGAGACTACAGAGCAGGACTGTAGATTTTCAGTCGTTCTTTGCAGAAAAACAGTGAAAAAGGCGAGAACAAGCCCAGAGGGTAAAGCCTCTTCGGTATGGAGGGCGATGGCTGAAATATAAATATGGGGAGGCCTGGCAGGTTGCCTACATCACCCTCCCCAAAACCCGCCAGGGCAAGTGCCATGTGCTCACA